CTGAAAGGGAGCAGAAGTGAATGGTCGAACGCATTATTCATTTTAAAAGTACTTGCCCTGATCCCATCTCTGCCTGGGATGGCTCTGCTGGAATTTGTTGTGGTCATTCCGAGTAACAAAAATTCTAGCTACAGCGCCTCGGTATTTAGCTGGATGCTGCGTTATTAAAACCAGCAACCCCCTTGAGAGTCAGTGTCGTTTGACTTAGCTTTGGGGTCGTCTAGCTTGATTTAATTCAAAAGTACTTAGGAGAGGAGGGGTGAGAATTTGGGTTCTCCTGTCTTGGAGGTGTTCCAAAGGTCTTGACTTCTTAATACCACCCTAACCTAAAGCTGCGGTTAAAAGGGAGCTTAAAACCTTTCTTCCTAGGCGTGATCCCTCTTTTCTGTATATCCTTGGGGTTTTTAAAGCAGAAAGATGATGTTGGTAGATCAGCAAACACAGAAGTGCTCCCGTGTAATTAACATACACAAATCGAGACGGATCAAATCCCTGTTTTATCTTCTGTGCCATTTATAGCGCTGATATTTGCAAAGAGCGTTTTATTAAATTTGTAATAAAATGGAGCGTGCAGAGTGGGCTGGCAGATCATTGCCGGATCGTTGCCAGCCAGCCAGGCCCGCCTTGGGTTATTTTTTTTCCTAAAGGTACCCGTGTGGGGCGTATTGCAGATCTCTAATGACTCGATGCAGCTTTTCAGATGATAGGGAAGAGTAGAAAGAAAACCTTTATTCCTTTACGTGCAATACAAACGGAATAGGAAAAATAATGCACTCATGGATGCTGCGTACCGTGCCCAGTATTGAAACACCCGGAACGCAAGACATGTATTTGAATACGTTGGGGGGGGGAGGCTGGTTTTGTATTTTATCTCTAAAATTATCACTCTGAGTTGGAAACAATCCTGGTTTGTAGGGTTGCGTGGACCTTCGAAACGAGCCTGATCTAAGATACCTGCAAAAAAGAGGTTGTGGGCTGCCCCACGTGTCTGGTCTTGATACAACGAACATCAGTAGGAGGCAAAAGTTTAAATTTGAAAACAGCGTGAATGTAACCATCTTTTGCAAAGGTGTTTAGTAATTTTTTCCAGCTACAAAAATACTGGTTTTTACGTACACACCCTTATAACTTAGATCAGCTCTAGCTTTGCTTATAGGCCCAGGAGCACAGGTTTTGCTCCTCTTACCTCTTATGTGTTCATAAAAAAGACAAAATTTCCCAGGAACACTTAATTTCCGTATTTTTTATGCCCAAGATAAGCTGTAATGTAGCAGGGGTTTATGGTTCTCACAGGAAAAAATGTTTTCACTGTCAAAATTCTTCTAGTACCTCCATAATTTTACTGCTTAATTTTTACTCTTCAGTGCTGGGTGGTTAAACCTAAACTCGGAGGTTTCTTTTAACTCTGCCTTCTCTCAAAAGCTTTCCTGAGATAGGGGCTGGAGAAATGTCTCAATGCAGGATTGATTTTATCCATAATAATGTTCCCATTGGTATCTGTTTCAGTAAAATTGGTATTTTTTTCTTTAGTGCCTGGGCAAAATTGGCAATGTAGGCATTAATTAGGCTCTGTCTTTCTAAAATACACATGTATGGGTATCATAGGTTACAGGTATGTCTATAGGGTAAAACAACACTTAAAGTCGTAATCTTTTGCCATAGAATAACCTTTAAAAGTGCAACACGCTATCATGCCGTGCTTTATTTGCAGAAATATTGACAATATCGACTCATTTTCGGGAGTGGTAGGATTTTTTTTGTGCTAGGAATTGCAAGCGTATTTTCTCCAGGCATCTAAAGCTGATGAAAAGCTCCGCATCTTCATTCCATACCATGTTCTATATTATGAAACCGCTACCTATATTTCTCTTAAATCACTCATGAACTGGTGCAGGAACCCTCGGGAAGAGGGGGAGGGTGGGTGGTGGTTTTGGTGTTGGTTTGTTTTTTTTTTTTTTAATTAGCATATTTGCTGTTTATTTTACTTTTTCATGAGCGATGCATGGTTTTTGGCAATATAACTAAGACAGGCCAAGGAATTAATGTTTTGGCTAATTAGAAAACGCAAGCGTTAGCAGTCATTGCGCCGGGTTCGATACGGGTAGCGCATGAAGGTCCCCGGAGTTCGGAAGCGTGTGGCCATACCTGTGTTCCTGTCCGTGTCAGGCTGTAAGGAGCTGCCAGAGCCCCGCAAAACCCTCCTGGTGGTGGCAAAGCGGCGGCGTGGACGCGTGGCCCTGGTTGCCATCACACGGCTTTCCCAAGTGCTCGCCCTCCCAATCCGTGCAGGAAGAGGCAGCGGAGCGTCCGGGAGGGAAGCATCCTCCACGGTCCAGTTGTATTGATACAGCAACTAGTGGTCTTCCAAAATGATGAGCAAGCGTTCCCATTTCTTCTCTGTAACGTGGGCCACGCCAGGTGTCCTGGTGTTGCAAACTTGTTTTTAATTTAGCGCTTTTCCGTCTTCAATCCCGTGAAACATAATGCCATTTTGAATCCTCCTGTGGTAGTAAAAAAAAAAAAAAAAGCAAGAATCAAACTAAAGCATCTCCATCCCTGGAGGTTCCTGGTGGCCTCTGGCTTGGTTCTTAGCCTTCTCCTGTCAAGGGGGTGCCTCCGATAAGGAGCTGGCTGCCGTGCACCGCGATGCAGGTTTTCCGAGCCGAAGGGCGGGCGGCCGCGGCCCCCCCGGTCCCGCTGGGTACGCCAGCCTGCCCGCTGAAGGAAGCAGCAGTTTCCCCTCGGGCTTCTCAAGGCAGCAACAGACAGCGAAGCCTAATTTGGCTGAACTTGTCCCAGCGTTACTCTTACATAAAGGAAATCAGTCTCAGTTCGGTTACTTCTGTTTCATTCCAGATGCAGGTTTTTGGGTTTTTTTTTCATCTTTATCGTGGCAAATGCAGGAGTGGTGCAGTCAGCCAGTTCTGAAGCTGCGTCCTCGCGTGCCAATTGGCAGGACGTGCCCGCTAGGAAAAAACGCGGGTGGCGTGCAGTGCTGCAGCCCTGCAATTCGTTCTGCATAAAACACCTCTGCTGCTCCATTAGCACAATCTCCTGCTTTCCTGAGATATTTTTAATCCATTCTTTAGCACGTGGCATTTTCTGTAGCTTCTTGTGACGTTTTACTTCTTTTTTTTTTTGCCAAGGACATTTGACTTAACGTTTCCTTACTGGAGCGTAAGCAGCCTCATTAATTGTTTTTATATTTGCTCTGAGTGCCATCGATTATTTAGCAAGTAGTGACAATAAACAGGTATTGATTCATAATGGCTTGGTTCTAAATTGAGCAGAAGGGACTGTAAAGGTTTACTGGCAAGCCATAGGAGCGAGGTCCTTGCTCGAAGCCAAAGCGGGGCGCGTGGGCTAGCATCCCTGCGTGCAAGGGGAACGGAGGCTGCAGAGAGGAGCCAGCCCCCGTCGTGCGAGGCGAGGAATGGAGCTGTTGGAGCGGGGCCAGGGGAGGGCTACTGAAATGCTGCGAGGGCTGGAGCCCCTCTGCTCTGAGGCCAGGCTGGGAGAGTTGGGGGTGTTCAGCCTGGAGAAGAGAAGGCTGCGGGCAGAGCTGAGTGCGGCCGGTCAGGGCTTAAAGGGGGCCCAGAGGAAAGGGGGGACAAGCTTTTTAGTAGGGCCAGCTGGGACAGGACAAGGGGGGATGGCTTTAAACTGAAGCAGGGGAGGTTTAGACTGGATCTAAGGAAGAAATTCTTTCCAGTGAGGGTGGTGAAACCCTGGCAGGGGTTGCCCAGAGAGGGGGTGGAGGCCCCATCCCTGGGACCATTCCAGGCCAGGTTGGACAGGGCTGTGAGCAACCTGATGTGGTTCAAGGTGTCCCTGCTCCTGCAGGGGGGTTGGGCTGGGTGACCTCTGGGGGTCCTTTCCCACCCAAACCATTCTGTGATTCCATGATTCCGTGATTCTATGATTCCATGATTCTATGAATATCCGTAACGGATGAGATCCGGGGAGGGAGAACCTGCCAGGGGCGTAGCTGGGAGTAAGAGGTAAAACTGGAGTTTATTTTGCTGTGATTTAATTACAGAAAACTCGAGGATGAAGTTGAGGCGGGTTGCGTGGAAAGGGGTTTGTTGCTTTTTCTATTCCAGCAGTTGCAGGGCTGACCCAAACGTGGGAATAGAAATCCCTGTAAGAATTGTAAAGCAAAACAGAAACAAGGTGGTTGGTGAATCCGGGGGGTGTTTTCGCTGAGAGACACTGTTTCTGAGCCGGTTTGTAACTCGACCATCAGAGCATGTGCGCGGTGGGGGAAGGCTGCGGCGCTCGCGATCTCGGGCTGCGGCGGTGTTAATATCCTTTCTCCTCCTGTTCGTCAGATCCCCACAGTACCAAGCACTACAAAACACAGATATTGCTTTTCTCCGAACGCTTCCAGTGCCTTCCCATGAGGAAGATTAGCTTAATTATAGATAAGGATTGATTGCGCAAATAAAAGCTGTTGTGCACGTCTCTTCCTCCGGAAGAGGCAGTGATCACAGACCCCTCTCCCCTGCCCCGTAAAAGCTTGCCTGGAAAACGTAATTTAATTTTTTTTTAATAAAAGTCTCTTTCGGAAGGCAAAGGTGCTTTTCAGAGTTACATATCTCGAAAGAGAGCGCTAGAAAACACCAGCAAGGTGCTCTGGGAAAAATGGCATGTAAAAAATGTAAAAGGTTTATTATTCTTTATTATTTTTTATTTTTTATTACATTATTATTCTGGAGTATGAAGAAATCAAGGAGTTCAGTGGTCCTGCCTTTCCAGACTGATCAATTATCTGAAAAGGAAAAAAAAAATAAATTTCAATTTGCTAAATTAATTATTTAATGCTTGTGAAGGCCTGCGGTGCGGCAGCTGCACGCGTGTTGGGGTATGGCTGAGCCACAGAGCCGGCAGACGGGTGGGGGCACGGCGGAAATCCCGAGGGCTGGGGAAGGATCTGTGGTCTGTGCTTCGCCGCCCTACGGAAGCTGTGCTTTGATCATCTCTTCTCCTAACAATTCCAGGTGTCGTCAAGGTGGATTACGGCGATGTATCCGTCAGAAAAGCGCTGAGGGAAAACCTGAAGTGTAAACCCTTCTCGTGGTACCTGGAGAACATCTATCCCGACTCCCAGATTCCACGGCGCTACTACTCGCTGGGGGAGGTACGCAGCATTTCCTTGGGCTAAACTGGAACGATAAGGGTGCTGTGGAGGAGGTGGAGGGGGGTTGGAGAAGGGAATGAAGTGCTTGTATGCCTGCCTTTATCCGTTGCCTTAGGCAGGTTATATTTTCTCTAAATCTTTCATGAGGGGGCATTGCTCACTGTTAAAAATTTATCTTTTAAATCGAGCGGCATATTGGAGAAGTGGGGTTGGTGGCTGATCTCTTGAAACCATTACATGACGTGCAGAAGTTGAAGGAAACTTCCCGTCATCACGTATCCCGTACACGTAGAGTGGTTTGTCGTTGATGCTGTGTTTTCCAGCCGGGAGCTGTGTATCACAGACATTCCAAATCCTCTGACGATTCTGGTACCACCAAGAATCGAAGCCTCTTTAAAATTCAGACACTTCCCCCTTAAAAATACTCCATTGAGTTGTACCTGCGCTGGCTTCGAAAAGCTCTTGAAGGGTTTGATTTAAAGATAGCTACGGCTAGAACAGCAATCAAACGAGCAAATGGCTTTTTTTACATCCAGGAAAGTAATTTACTACGGAAACTTGCAATTGTAGTGAAAAATAAAAGCCACCCTAGGGTTTCCAGTTTTAACTATGACAAAATGAAGTGAAACATGGCTTTCCAGCCAGGAAAGAACTCATCCAACAAGTGTCAAATAATGAGGTTCTGTACGATCTTGTCGGAGTGGAAAATAAAAGTAGGAGAAAGTAATAAAATTGTTATTAAAACACCTTATTTTTACCAACACGGCCTCAGTTTCTATGGAAACGGCGATTCAGGCAGGATCTAGGAATTAAAACTCATGCTCGACTCCTACAGCCGCTGGCTGCCAGTTGAGCAGCAAAGTGGATTTTTAGCCCTAAAGCTCAGGTGCCGGCAGCAGCAGCAATGGACAAGCCTGGAAAGATCAGAAGCGCATTTTTCACTCCTTTTCCTCCCTTTCAGCAGGCGTTTGGCCCCAGGTAGGCTGAGCTGTCTGGCTTGCGGGTGCAGCTGGGACCCGTGGTCCCCCCACCCTCGGGTGCGAGCCGTGGGATCGCTGGCTGCCGAGAGCCGGGGTTGGGAATAAATCTGAGGAACTGATTCTCTAGCACGGAGCAACGGGTGATCAACACCGGGCCTCGCATTGTGTTGTGCGACTGTGTATCTTCTTCTTCTGTAAAGAGTGATAAAAAGAATGAATAACTTCGACAGATTTGGGATAATCATCCTTAATTTGCTTATGCCCTCCTGCAAGATAGTGCGGGCGTGACTTGGGACGGGGCAATGCCCGTGCATGGTTCACCTGCACCGCCCGCCCTGTTCGAAGCGATAATCAGTACTGCATTAGGCTTTAATCTGGATTTTGTTTGGCTGCTGAACGACTCATTTATATACGTCTGTTGCTTTTATGAATGAAGTGCGCAATTTTTAACTGGAATTTCGAAAATGTGGAGTCGCATGGGACTGAAGTTCCTAAGTGGCTTGTGGAGTTTATTCCTCGTACACTTACTAGGCAGATCCTGACGGTGGCCAAGCCATTATTTGCAACTCAATTTCCCATGCGGTTAGAACATAACTTGTATACAGTGACTGTATTCCATTTGAATGTCCTAGATGGACGGAGAGATCCCTCAGAACGGGCATAACGGGACTACGGAATATTCTTTTTTGCACATTTAATCACGTAACATCGAAAGTGAATACAAAATAAATGCGAGGCGAGGATTATTTTAGAAACCCAAGGCGTAATAATGAAGAAGCCCTCTGTTTTAACGAATCGAGGGATCGCAAAAAAAGAAAAAAGACCTTTCTCGTGGCGATACGTGAAACCCTTTCAGGACCAGCGTTTACTCTCGCTGGGCTCTAAGGAAGGGCCGCTTGTGTTAAAAGCAGCTGGGCAGCGGTGGAAGCCAGCGCTCTGGTTACCGCCCGGCGCCTGAGGTCTGAGCCCCGAGGAGCCTTTCTCCTAACCTGGGCAGCTCCTGGAGGGGGAAGCAATGAAGAGCCTGGGCCCCTGTGAGGTTACTCACCAGCACGAGGTGGTGCCCTCGCTTGCTGCGTGATTAGCGACCTTAGGGCGGA